TGGGGTTTGTGAGGGGGTGTGGCTGCCTGTGTGGCAGGTTGTAGGGTATGTTCAGGCTTGTGGGTGTGTATCTGGGGGGCAGTCGTGGACAGGGGGTGATAAGGATGGTGTGTGTGGGGTTTGTGGGCTGTGAGGGAGGGTTGGGGTATGTGGGGACTGTGTGCCATATCCCCCATGGCACACAGCCCCCACTGCTGGCAGCAGCAGCAGGTGGCAGGCCCTTGGGGTGTTCGTGGTCCACACAGATGCAGATGCCAGGTGGTGTGAGACACCAACCAGTTCCAGGAGCTGCACATGGCAGCAAACAGCAGAGCCAGGCTGGCCTGCTTCTATTGTGTGGGGCCCGCATGCAGCTCCTGGGACTTGCGCTCCACTGGGAGGGAGAAGCCCCATGTGATGGAGCTGGCTGCCTTCCCCCCTCCTTGCCATCACAAGCCTCACACACACCCACACACACCCGAACTTGCATTCCTCTCACCAGGCATAGGCTGCCACCAGCCCCAGCCCCAAGCTCCCACTCAGTTGTACCTTCTCTACCTGCTGCCTGGAGTGAGCACTGCAGCAGAGATGCAAGAAGGAGCCTCTGGAGGCCGGGGAAGCCAAGCAGGTCCCCCAGTGACTGCAGCAGTGGCAGCAGCAGCTCTGCCCAGAAGCTGTGTATACTGGCTGGGTCTGGGGCCCTGCCATGCAGGAAGGTGGGACTGAAACACTGGGCAGGATACAATTAATTGGTGGGCGCCAACAGACTGGATGAAATAGTCTGGTGGGCTGAAACCAGCCTGTGGGCTGTATTTTGCCTGCCCGTGAAATAGGCTCAAGCTGTAAATATACTGTATTAGCAGAAGAACAAGCTGGATTCAGATCTGGAAGAAGCACCACAGAACAGATCTTCAACCTCAGAATCATGTGCAAAAAGTACTGTGACCGCCAAAAAGAACTCCATCATAAATACACAGACTTAAGAACAGCTTTTAACAAGGAATGGCAAAAGCACTTTGGCTGACAATGAAGAAGCACAACATCAGTCCCACATTAATAAGTCTTACGGAAGAACTCTACAACAATACAAATAATGGAGTCCTACTTGACAACAACATGGTGGAGGGGTTTGCAACATCAGTAGGAATATGTCAAAGCTGTCTTCTTTTACCATGCTTATTTAATTTATACCCAGAACAAATGTCAGATACCTTAGAGA